AACCCTAAACCCTACTAAGTCCCATGATCCTCCAAGTCGAAACCCCTGGGACCCGCCCAAAAACCTCGGCTGCCAAGGCTGCCAGGACCGTGGAGTCCAAGCCCCCGGAGAAGAGGAGGCCCAGGTGAGGTGCGTCTTTGGCACCTCTTCGGATTCTTCTGATATAAATATACTGCAACGGAATATAATATAATAGAAAAGAATATGAATATACACAACAGAATATAATATATATATATATATATATATGTATATATATATATAGAAAAGAATATAATGTAGCATATCTTATCTATTCTATACTTTGTATAATACTGTATACCATATGCGACAAACGAAAATGATATTCTAGTATAGATTGTTATATATTACATATTGCATGTTATATACTCTTCGGGGGCTTGAGGGCCCTAGGGGCTTTAAGATCTTAGGCCTAAGGGTCCCCCATCCAAATATTTTCTGGCTCGTTTCCATGAAGTGCTGACCACGTCCCTGAACTCCTTCCCTGTTCAATATACCGGAACCAACAGGTGTTGGAATTGAAAGCCGGCATTGGAAGATTTGAGACACTGCGAGCCAACTTCAGGTCCTATCAAGCAGAACATAGCTCAAGTTTCTTGAACTCAAGGTTTATGTTCAAGGTAAGGCTCAAAGACCTGCTTTGGGAAAGGCTTGCAAAGCACTTCAATGAGAACGGTTAGGAAGCATGAGACTGAGACGTAGGATAGCAGGAACAATCGCAACCATGACAAACATGGTCGTGCTGTGAGCCTGCGAGCTGGGCCACGTGCGACACGCGCAGTGCGACGGCAGCAGCCAGCAGTTGGGCAAAAGTTGCCACCGGCGTCGCGGGTGCCACAGCGGCCGAAGCCCACCACCTGCAGTGACATGAGCAGGCATAACCGTGATGACAGACCGCCAAGATCTGCCAAGTGTCGCCACAGCACCAGAATTGGATCGTTTAGATTTGGCCTTTATCAACTGCTACTTAACCCATCGGACGGGGCAAGGCTTCTGCTTTACTCACAGAGGCGCACCAGCTTTGCTCGAAGGCCACAGGCTCTTCCCAGGGCACATGGTGAACCGACGGCTCCTGCGCGCTTGGCGGTGACAACTTTAGTGGCACCTGGTAAGAGAATAAAACCAATGGTAATGGTGGAAGCCTTGGTTCATGGTGGTGCTGATTACCGTTTCAGCGCTGGTACTCTAATTTCCCAGAGGTGTAGACAGTGTATAGATAATGCAACGGCAAAGTGCTGCCGATGCGAATATTTATGGTTGGTCATGATGATGATGGTGCTGATGATGATGGCGATGATGGTGATGATGGTGATGAAGGTGATGATGGTGATGCTGATGATGATGATGATGATGATGATGATGGTAAGGACGAGGATGGTGATGATGATGATGATGGTGATGGTGATGGTGATGATGATGATGATGACGATGATGATGATGATGATCATGATGATGACGATGACGATGACGACGATTCGATGATCCTGGGTGCGGCGGTCTTTGGTCTTGTCAGTCTGTCCTACCGCTGTCCTACCGCTGTTACAGAGTTCTTCGGACGGTCAGGCGCTTGTGATTGCCTGAAGATTGAACAAGCTTTCAGCCGGTTCTCCCGTGACAGCAGCACCGCTACAGGCTCCAGAGCCGTACATGCCGTTCTTTGGAAAACAACCCCCAAACTCAAGACCGAAACCCCACACGCTAAAGACCGTCAAGACATCTTGAAAGGATCCTCGTCTGAAGTTTTGCCATAATATGAATAGGCCTGCGAGCTCCTTGGCGAAGTCGAACACGAAGATACCGGTGACCGGAAGCCTTGCCATGGTTCCAACTGGACAGGCATGCATGCACATATATACACGCATACAGAAAGACATGTATATAAATATGCAGGTATACGCTCTGCATGCAGCCGCGACTCTCCTTCCACTTGTCCACAGAGCCACCAGGCGCACTTGCGATGCAGCCTTCGGATCATGGGATGGCTTGCATGTCACACTGCTCTCGCTCTCTGTCTCGCTCTCTCCCTTTACCACCTCCTCTCTCTGTACATGGGACTGGGGGATTCAACGACATGAAGATCAATGCCTGAAGTGAAACATCTCGCATCCGTGCCTCCATGAGCACTCCGAGCTGCCACAAGTGAGCGACGACCAAGACGGTCCCGAGCCACGAAGACCCTGACTGCGATCACCAGAGGCTACTACAGAAGTCAGCCTTGTGAGCACTACTATACAAACGACTTGGTCTACTCTAAAGCAGTGCTGTAGGGTGACGTAACGACAGAAGATTCAGTCGTTGGAAACAAGGGGCATCACACCAGGCCGTTAATCGAAGCAAGCTGACTGTCCAAACGGCCGCCGTGACGACAAGCCGCTTCGACAAATTACCGTCGCACTTCGACAAGCACCATCAACCCTAAAGCCTTCATGGTAACCCGTATAGTGTGGCAACCATCTCAATATGGTAATCCTTACAACTACGCCGTACGCCTAATCCTCTGCGGAGCTCAGCTTCTGCTGCAGTGCTACCACAGGCCACAGGCTAGAGGCATGCCGGCTACCCGTTGCAAATCAGCAGGTAGCTCTCTCTGAGAACGAAAGCCGGAGATTACGAGTAAAAGGCTGGAACAGAATACAACACCATCACCATAATCACCCTCACCCATCAGCATGATCATCGTCATGGTCTTGATCATCAGCATCATCGTGATCGACCCTGCGCCAGGACTCCTTAGACTCTGCGCTCGGCCGGGACGCGCCCTTCGCCTCGGGCTCCAGAATGCCAGAGCGAACGGCCCGTGCAAGCCCTGCAGGAGCTGGCGGAGCGCCTTAGACGTGAAACTATTCGAAGAGAGCGTTCGTACTGAGCTTAGTCAAACCGATCTCTCATCTCGTCTTCCTCTTAGCACTCTTAGTCGTAGTGAAGGTGGTGGCAATAGTAGTTGTAGTGGTAGTGGTACTGGTCGCACTGGGAGTGGCAGTGGCAGCGGCTGTGACAGTGGCGGTGGTGGCGGCGGCGGTGGTGGTGGCAGAAGTAGAGATAGAGGTAGCGGTAGTGGTGGTGGTAGTGATAGTAGTGGTAGTAGTGGTAGTAGTAGTAGTAGTAGTAGTAGTAGTAGGAGTAGGAGTAGGAGTAGGAGAAGGAGTAGGAGTAGGAGTAGGAGAAGGAGTAGGAGTAGGAGTAGGAGTAGGAGTAGGAGTAGGAGTAGGAGTAGGAGTAGGAGTAGGAGTCGGAGTCGGAGTAGGAGTAGGAGTGGGAGTAGTAGTAGTAGTAGTAGTAGTAGTAATAGTAGTAGTAGTAGTAGTAGTAGTAGTAGTAGCAGTAGTAGTAGGAGTAGGAGTAGCA